TAAAATGCAAAGACTATAGTCTTTTGCGTAAATATTAATAAAATGTGTTTTATAAAAGTGTGTAAAAACTATAGTCTTTTGCGTAAAAGTTTGTAAAAATGCAAAGACTATAATGTTTGGTGTGAAAGTGTGTGAAAATGCAAAGACTGTATTCTTTGGCGTAAAAATGAGTAAAAATGCAAAGACTATAGTCTTTAGTGTGAAAGTGTTGAAATGTTTATACGTTTTTTACTTGTTACCTTTTACAATGTAACTTTCTCAGAACTCTCTCGTGATGCACGAGAGCCTCCTTATACAATATTATTGTCTCATTATGAACGAAAGCATTCATAGGCTTCATGAAAAAAACAGGGATTATCTACTTCGTTATAATAGTTTCTACAAAGATAACATTTAATAAGCCAAGAAATTTGTATCGTATAAATTGAACCTGGCTTTGAACCATTATGTTATAAAATTTATTACAAAAAACACTTGATAAAAACGACGATTTTTTTGAAAGCAAACATGTTTCGACATTATCAGAATGCCATCTTCAGTGCAGAATGGTTAGTGTTAAGTAATATGATACGTAATATGATATGAATAAATTAATTACAATGAATAGGAATATGATTAAGTTACAAAATTATAAAATATTTATAAAAAAGGAGAAAAAAAAAATATATTAAGTATTAAGAACTTATAACAAAAAATATTATTATAAAGTAAATATAGTGTTGTAGTGGTGAACTTGGATATTTAAATCGGGATTAGTATTGTAGTGGTGAACTTAAGTTCTTAAGTTCTTAATACTTAATATTTTTTTTTTCTCCTTTTTTATAAATATTTTATAATTTTGTAACTTAATCATTTTCCTATTCTTTGTAATTAATTTATTCATATCATATTACGTATCATATTACTTAACACTAACCATTCTGCACTGAAGATGGCATTCTGATATTGTCGAAACATCTTTGCTTTCAAAAAAATCGTCGTTTTTATCAAGTGTTTTTTAAAATTGCTGCTAATTAGAAATTATGATAAAATTTATTACGTTATGTACAAAGACTATAGTTACATAGTGAACCATTATGGGGCGTTCTAGTGCCTTACGCTTAAGAGGCTATCGGGAAGTATGGACCGAAAACGGAGTTTTTTGCTTTCGAGTTTTATCTTTTTGTTTACAAGAGTTCTTCTCATGAAAGAAACTACAACATCCAAGTATAATGCAAAGGTTCAAACAACTTCTGCTTTTTTTACTAATAACTTAAACGAACTCTTTTTACTTGTTACGTTTTACAAAGTAACTTTCTCATAACTCTCTCGTGATGAACAACAGCCTCGTTAAACAATATAACTCTCTATTCATGAACGAAAGCATCCATGGGCTTCGTGGAAAAAAGGGATTATCTACTTTTTTATAATAGTTTCTACAAAGATAACAATTAATAAGCCAAGCAATTTGTATCGTCTAAATTGAACCTCGCTTTCAACCCTTAGGTTATAAAATTTTGATTCATTTTGGATGGTAAATTTCTTTTTACCTTACAATATTTTCATGATTCAATCTAGAAAGTAATATTATCGATTAATTTTGCAATTAAACGGTACACTTTTCGGATTCAAACGAATTCTTTTGATCTCATAGAGACAGCCGTCCAATTTATTATGTACCTAAGCGTATATAAAGCATTTTCAAATCACGTACAAAATTTCCTTCAAACGACCAAATTACTGTCTATATAAACGATGTATGTAATGAAAAGTTACTTGACAACTGAAGCAAATCCTCCTTTTTCCAAGCATTTGCAACACCTCATATTTATTTCGAACTCTTGAATTTCTCGCAGCGTAGCCGAAAGGAATAGGCATCAAATCAGGAGACTCATCTCCATCATCACAGCTATTTCGATTTCTTCCTTGATATCTTTCATCGTCAAGCTTATCTGAAGTGATGTTATTCTTTAAACCGTGCGACATGGGATTCGAAGAGATGAAAGGATGTTCAAGAAGACTATACTTCACTCATTTTCACGCAAAGACTATAATTCACACATTTTCAAGCAGACTGTAATTCACATATTTTCACACATTTTCACACAAAAACACATTCATGCATTTTCACACATTTCTACAGATATACTACAATTCACGAATTTTCATGCAAGGACTACAATTCACGCATTTTTACAGATTTTCACACAAAGATTCCAATGAATTATAGTCTTTGTGTGAAAATGTGTGAATTATAGTCTTTGTGTGAAAATGTGTGAATTATAGTCTTTGTGTGAAAATGTGTAAAAATGCGTGAATAAGAATCTTTGTGTAGAAATTTGTAAAAATGCATGACATATTGTCTATCTAATCCTAGGGACTCTTAATCCCATAGAACACACGTGATCAAGCTCTAACCCTTACACAGTCAACACCACATCTGATTGACTTAAACTGATTATAATATTAAAGCCATTTTTGATCCAAATAAATACGATCTGAGGATTAGACAGTATTTTTAAAAGGTTTTATTGTTCACAAATTGCTTTTGAATCCCAAACAAACCACATTTGATAGGCTGATTGGCTGCATGGTTGGCATAGCGGTTGCTACGGGAACCTACTAATGGTTTCACTTCGAGAAACTCATCACTGGAATTCCAGGCAAGAAGTGGAGCAGTCCTTGCCCGAGGGGGAAGTGTTGAGTTGACTCTTAATTGTCTGCGTTTCAATGCAAGATTTCCACGAATGTGAAGAGGTTCATTATCATTACAAGGCTGTTGTTGTTTTGGTGAGGATGAATATTGCAAACGGTATGTTGTCACACAACTTTTGTCCATGTCATCATCACACCACGTTAATAAATCTTTGGTATTCTTATTTTTTTGACGATTCTCAGTCTTCCTTTTACCAAGTCCCTAATGTTCAAATGTTTTATTTTAAACATTCACTTCTACAAAATTTAATGCGATGTATTCAAAAAACACACTAAACTGGAACAGTTCAAACATCAATAACTAAGCAAAAGCAAAACACACCAGGCTAAGTCCTCTCAACTTAGAAACACAAAAGCATAAGACACTTACTAAAAAATAGGTTAATCTTAATTATCAGTTCCCCTAAATTTCTATCATTTTATACCATTTACTCTAACAATACCTGCGTCAAATAAAAGAAAAAATCTTACCATGTCAAAGTATGATTCTAGGCTTCCTTCATGTATCTGTACATGCCTGTTATCATGTTGCGAAAACAGATGATTATTTGTCCTTTGCTGTACAAAAATTATTGAAATTTATAAAATATTATAAATTATAATAATCAAGAATAAAACATTACTATTTGGGAGGGAACATTGTGCTTTACTGCTATATTATTTCAATAATAATATAAAATGAGATTAGTTGAGGTTACCCTATTCCTAACACATCCATATTACCAGAAACTGAAGCACCCAAACTTTCTAGAGATAATGCAATGTCAAGCTGGGAACAATGACTTTCTATATAATAATATAACCATGCTCAACCCTTTAACTGCACCAACCAACAAGCACTTTGTGATAAACCAGAGTTGAAAGTTTGTTTTGGGTGCACAATTTTGAGAATACTATGCTTTTTTTGTGAGCACAATTTGGGTGATAGAAAAGATGATATAAGTAAAATATTAAACTACCTTTGATTTATTCAAGAACTGTTGTGGTGGAGATGGTTTTGCCCTTTGTCGATATGGTATGCTGTACTCTGAACGAGGTCGATTTCGAAAGTGACCGTGAAAACTGGTTGGATACTATAATGAAGACAAATCTCTGTCTCACTTGTTCTTACAGTAAAATGTGTAAAGTTCAAGGTAATTTTTATTGGTGAATAAATTGTTAGAATTTTGAAATAAATTACTAACCCAGCTTCCAACAATATCACGATTATTTTCGTATATTACCGATGCCATTGGAATGTCAGGTTTGCATTTTCTTTAATAAAAATTCAGAGCAAATTTTAATGATAAAATAATAAACAATTTATTTGAAATCTCGGTGTGTTTCCAAGGACAGCAACGCCGGCAATGTAGACCAATCAGATTGCGTCAAACACTGAGAACGGTATTTCCCCGGTACGTCAACATGACATTAATTTTATATTCCCAACATAAGTTAGAATGTTTCTAGCAAAATACGATGAGTAGAAGAAGATTTAGGTATTGCTCAACGATAAATCATTTTAAAATAATCTCTAGTTTTCATCCAGGATCAAAGTTTACTAACTAATAAACATACGATAACCTCATTAACCTGGACGATTTACAAACATGATACGATAACAATCATGGGTTACAATCTCCGAGACAATTATACCAGCCAATCAGATGATGAGTTAGTAAGCGCGGGAATTTCTCCAAAATACCCAAAAATACCTAACTTGTCTGAATGGTCGTCCCTTTAAATTTTACGTTTTGATAAAATGTTTTACTATTTTCACTTTGTGTTGTACGATGGGAAAATTATTAAATAAAAGTTGAGAGAAATGTTTTCGCAAAATGTTTTTTCAGCTAGAGATGTCCAACTGAGTTCATCTTTCAAGTAAGTAAACCAAGTGTTTAAACAGTGAAGAAAAGTCAACACTTTGAACGGACATTTTTTTATTTTTGCTAGTGTAAATGGAAATGAATCACAACAACACAGTCAGACGACGTATTCATCGCAAAACTCTCAAACAAGCTCTAAGGATTTATATTCTCTACAAAAACAAGCTTCTTCATTTGAACAGTACCAGAAAATCTTGCGAAAGACAAGAGACGTACGATAAAAACATTACACAAAATATTTAAGCGTGTGTGTATTAAAAAAATGTAAAACTTTTTTATAGGAATCACCAAACTATTTCTCAAAATATGCTAGCAACAGACCCATACTATTGAATTCCTCCACAAGCGACGAAATCTCCAACCACTCAACGAAATCTATTCAAGATGAAAAGCAAAATATTTTTGTTAAAGAAGAGAGGTAAATTCAGAACATGGCAACCAAACTTCTCAAAACTAGACTTTCATTTTCTCTCTCTTTTTTCGATAGAGATTTGCTGCAAACTTTCATCAACCTTTTAAAAGAATACTCTACGGAGGTTTTTATATATAGTTTTGAAATTCAACATGAAATTTCCAATAAAGTAAGTAACATCCTTCTAGGTAAATTTATCGTTGAAGCATTTTAAAGAAAATGTAGAAGAGACATTACAGTCAATCATAAATACCAGAGAAAAAGGCACCGAAGATATCAATGATAGATTTGAAAGCAGTAAGTATAAGATCAGTTGGTTATGACTTCTACATACCACCAACTAATCTATATAAATTACAATTTTTATAAAGTGAAGAAAGAGTTGATGGCAATTTTAGCATTGAAGAACAAAGAGTTGAAAGAGAAGGATGAGTTAAACAACTGCATTAATGAAGTCAGTCTTAACATGAAAAATCATTTAGCAAAGGTCACTGACTATTATTGATGTTTTGCTGCATGTTTAATTTAGAAGTCAGAAAAAATTAGGCTGTTTGAAGCTAAAATAGAAAGCTTACAAAAACAACTGGATGACTTGATGAAGAAAGAGAGTGCTTATATTGATCAGAAGAAAAAATTAAAAGAAATGGAAGAAAAGTATTACCATTATCTAGACGAATCATCATATCTTCTCAGAAACACTCCTCCATTATCTCAATCGATGGATCCAATGCTTGCTATTCCACCATTTCTTCAAAATAAGAACAGTTATATGAATTCAGTAAAAGACAGCAAACCCATGCCACAAAAAACTTTTCCTTCGTCAAGTTATACTACATGGCAAGGAATAGACAATTTGTGTCCATTCATACCCGAACAAGATACAGTGCCAATAATCCCAAATCAATATAGCAACACATTTTCACAAGAAAATGAACAAAGAATGACTTTAAATAATGTTAACCCAATCTTACAATCATTGATCAAAAGTTACCAACCTACATCAACAGCAGAATACAACCAAATTGATAACTCTTGGGTGCCACCTTTGCTGTATTCATCAAAGCAAGAAACACCAACAAAACCATTACCATCCTTCCCTACAACCAGTTCCAAAGCCATAACACCACTGATGCTACCCACGTATGAATGTCAAGAGCAGAAATCGGTCAACCTTGCAAGCTATGCAGAACGCAACATCTATGGTAAAAAATGTAATAAAGGTTAGTACATTGAAAACACTTCATTAAGAAAGTCGCCAACAATCACATCTCTTACTTGTTTATTCCACTTCAGATTCACCATCAACTCTAAATGTACATAGAAAGAATAGGAAAAAGCCTTTGCAATCTCCAATGGCATTAGTGAAGCCTATGATTCAGTCAGGCTCAAAATCTTATGAAGATGAAATTTTCATTGGTGATGGAGTATACAAAAAAGAAGCAGGCAACAAGTCATCATTCCATTCAGATGATAATCAACAAATAATCATTAAACCTCTTGTCAAACAGGAATCTATCAAAATCATTAGCAATCTTGGAGCAGATGCTAAGAATAAATTGTGCAGTAAAGAGACAATTATGAGAAGAAAACGTAACAGCTTATCAATGCTTGGTGTGTGTGCACGATTCACTTGTAAAAGTTATTATTTTTTGCTAAATATGATGTTTACAATTTGCATTTGATTGTAGGAAAATCGCCTGGGGAGGATCAACTTCAGAAAATTTCCAATTCAATCCAAGGTCGAGTAAGTTTTTCAAAGCGAGCCAAATGTTTTCCTAAATAACATATTAATAACAAGTGTGCTTTTATTGTTTTAATCTCATTGTGCACATTAATTTTAATAGTTACATGAAGACAAATATATACACATGTTGGGAATTAAAAATTAAAAACAATTGTAAATGAAATGAATATTATGCAACACATTGTGCTGTGAAAAATTTAAATAAATTGCGTACACGAAATTGTAGTGCCCAGTATTTTCTATTACAACGCGGATTTCAAGATGGGCTCCGCTCAAAGTAATGACAGTGGAAATAACGAAGAAATTAAAACTTGGATTGAAAATGAAATAACATCCAATCTTGTAGTAGTGTTTTCAAAAACATATTGCCCTTATTGTCGTAAAGCAAAGAATGCACTAAAGGCAGCAGGACTAGAGAAGTACACTTTACACGAACTTGACAGAAGAGACGACGGTGAAAAAATTCTTGACATTTTACGTGACATGACTGGTGGAAGAACAGTAAGTTTGAATTCTTTCAATTATACAATGCTTGTACCTATCTTTCTTACATCTGAAATTTTTATTCTGTAAGGTTCCTCGCGTATTCATTAATGGAAAATTTGTCGGCGGAGGTTCAGAAGTTGAAGCAATGCAAGAGAAAGGTGAACTAGTACCACTTCTTAAATCATGTGGAGCTTTATAAACATCTTTAACACACAATTGGGCACAATATATTTATCGAATAAATGTTTAAATGAAGTTAGGAAAGCTTTTTACGTCCAGTACTTAGGTAAAATTGTATCAACATGGATAATTCTGACAAAGTAAGATCACAACAATTTCCCCTCTCACATCTATTATTTTACTACTTGTTGATTAAAGATAAAAGCACTACACAAAGCCTGGCGAGTTTTATTCACTGGATACTAAAATCAAAGGACAATGTTGATTTCAAAATAAAGAAGTTTTTTTGCATTTTTTATTTTATTTAAAGTCACTATACAACACAATCCACGTTCTGTGCTGCAAGTTGCTGGAGTTTATGAATAATCAGCATGAACTGTGCTGTTGTGTAGTTAAAGCCCAAAAATTAATTATTTCTCTTATGTCATTCCAAAATTACTTTATAATACATGAGATCTATGTTATGGTTACAATATTTTTTTTTATTATTCCTTTTTTTGTACAGTTATTATATCTTGTCGTTGTCTTCTATATCCAATCCAGTCTTCTATACAAATGAACCTTGTAACTTCATTACCGTCTCTAATTGTTGTTCTGAAGGACTATCTGCATCATTTGATGCTTGTTCTGAAGGACTAGCTGTATCATTTGATATTTGTCCAGAAAGACTGCCTATGTCATTTCTTACTTGTTCAGGAGGACCAGCTGTGTCATTGGATAAATGTTCCGAATGACTAGCTGTATCATTTGATAATTGTCGAGAATGACTGCCGATGTCATTTGTTACTTGTTCAGGAGGAGCAGCTGTGTCATTGGATAATTGTCCAGAATGACTGCCTGTGTCATTTGTTACTTGTTCAGGAGGACCAGCTGTGTCATTGGATAATTGTCCAGAATAACTGCCTGTGTCATTTCTTACTTGTTCAGGAGGACCAGCTGTGTCATTGGATAAATGTTCCGAATGACTAGCTGTATCATTTGATATTTGTCCAGAATGACTGCCAGTGCCATTTACTTGTTCAGGAGGACCAGCTGTGTCATTTGATAATTGTCCAGAATGACTGCCAGTGTCATTTGTTATTTGTTCAGGAGGACCAGCAGTGTCATTTGATAATTGTCCAGAATGACTGCCAGTGTCATTTAGTTCATTTATTTCCACCATATATCTATCTTCAAAGTTTGCCAGACGATTGTCAGTGTTATCATTAGACAGAACTCCTAAATTTCTGGAAAAATCATGATCTAAATTCACATTATCACTAACAACTTGTTCATCCCTTTGATTGCTTTCAGAAACATTTTCTGCACTAGGTAAAATAACGTGATTATTTTCTTCATTCAAAGCTATATCTCCTGTTATCTCTTCATCAGAGTCAACAACTACAGCAACATTATCTCGTCCAACAACATCTCTGCCATATTGAACCATGTAATTTGACTCTCCTTGATAAGTGACTCTAGCAGTATTATTAACATTTCTTGAGTCATTTCCTCGATTAGTTGTCACATGTGACGTCAAGCCTGATTGTGACCTTGCAAATATAGACTCATAAGATGGTGGACGTGGCTCAATGAGAGTTGAAGAGGATACTGAAGGATGTTGAGGTACATGCGAATCTTCACTGCTTGATGAAGTCCCAAGAGAAAGCTCTTGGTTGTCATTTGCTAAGTTTCTTTCTCTGACTTGTAACTAAAAAGAGCAAATCAGGTGATTTAACTACTGGAAGTTATATATAACTCAAATTTTTTCAGCAAATAAACAGAAACATATTTTCTTACCTGATGCTCATGAACAAAATGAAATACATGAAGAATTTCAATCACCAAAATCTCAAGCAAAAGTGTATAAGTGATTGCTGATAACACCATCAGTGCTGCATGTAAATTCATCACAACACTGCTGGCATCTCTACTTTCATATTTCAAATAATTATAAGCAATACAGTGAAGAATGATTGCAACAAGACTGCATGTCAGTAAAGGTAAACACACAAATACACACATCAACATCTGCAATAAAAGAAAAGATATTCATTTCGCCTTTGTCTTAGTTAAAAATTCAAGAGTGCAGTAACACAACCAATGCACTACGTAGAAATGTGAAAAGCAAAAGATATTTTTGCATCCTGCGATAATTGTTCCCCAAGTCTTTTCAGTCATCTCCCGAACTTAAGATATGAACGACCTCTATATTAATCCTGACAACTTAAAGACGACATTGAGACGACTTAAAAGACTCGGACAACGAGAACCATCCTTAGAGTTATAGGGTTTGTAATCACGATAATATTTTAAAGGCTATCTTATTGTTCCTGACTTCACAGTTTATAACAGAAAAAGAATATACGAAAGCTGTTGATGATACGAACACTTCGTGATTTAACACCGGTATAGGACTTACATAATTCCATACGTCAAAAGTTAAATATCACAGTCAAATTGGATTGTGTGAAGAAAGGTATTTATGTGTATAAATGTAACATACCGTTCGTTGTTTCCGTTGAAGAGAAGAAGAAAAGCATGACACAACTAAACCTAACACGATGATCTGTAAAAAATAAACTATGTAAGAACAAATTTTATCATAAAATATGACTAGAAAAAAGAAATCTTTACATACAGGTATACCAAGCCAATATTGAGTCGCGTAGATTCGACGGTCCGCCGATAAAGAATAGGAATGATGCTCCAAGATAAGGGATAAGACAATGCTAATTGCTCCAATTATTATAAGGAAAACACCAGTTAAAACTAAACAGTTTTTCGTAAGGTCCTTGTATATCATAGTTAAGCGTCTTAATACAACAATGATGAAATAGAATTGGTAAATATAACTTCTCACAAAGCAAGTATATTGCCTTCGAGCGCTATTTTCGTGGTAATTTCATTTTTGTGTGAAAATGCACATCAACTTTCGACGAATCTATATCAAACTTAATATAAACTGACAAAATTTGTGATACCAACAGAGCACTGTACAATATGGAACTTGAGGTTATTAAATTCAAATCAATAAGTAAACATTTTAAAGTATGCTCCTGTCGCCCATGCATACTAATGTCCTCTTTGTACTTTTGTTTATACGAACTTCCGTATTTCACCTTAAATGGAGCCTATTTAAAAAACAGTTAAGATGCTTTTCATTTTATCAAACTTTAACAAAGGCAACCATCATTTATTGTGCAATTCATCGCGAGTATAAAACAAGAAAAAGGTTCAAAGTTCTAGGTAAAAGGTTCACAGTTCTAGGTAATTCTTCAATGTCCACGTTTGTCATAAAAAAATTACAATGAGCGATAAGTAGAGCGGCAAGCCAATTGATTTATTACTGTAAATGCTAATTTCCTCAGCTAAATCTTGTATAGTTAAATTTACATAGTACAATGGCTGGTTAAGCTATTAAAAGTCTAGCTGTAGAAATCAATTCAGTGTGACAGAACACACTTAAGAAAAAGTGTGCGCTGTACAGCATTCACTGGCACGTAGACCTTGCATATTATTGTTTGTAAGAATCGTAACATATCCTAACTTCTACCACAATTCTCATCTTCAATGTTCATAAATGTTCTATTACTTCATACATATGTCCACATATGTCTCATGACTTTATTACCAAAGTAACGTTTTGATACAGGCGATAACATTTTAAAGAAATATACTTCGTATATGACAGTTGATTGATACAGTGGAACCTCTACTTATAGGGACATCTCCCGTAAGCGGACACCGTTTTTGGGTCCTTACCAATAAATTATTACCTTTCATAAGTTCAACACCGTTCATGAGCGAACACCCCCCCGTATGCTGACAAACGTCATGGTCCCAGAAGGTGCTCGCTTACGTGTGTTTACAAGCTTACTTTTTAGTGATGTCTGAAATACGCGACAATGGAAGTAAGCTTGAAAAAAGCACTTGAAGTTTTATTGATATAAAATTTTTCATTTGTTGAGAGTTCTATGACGTCATGCACAATTTGGAAGTACTAGTCTCCCCGTCCATGGTACATCAATTCTCATCCCCCTCCTGTAAAAATTCACGTCTCTACAGCGTTTACCCCAGTCAGAGTTGCTGAATTATTCCCAAAAAACTGATTACATAAAAATCTCTATATTACACATCTACATTCGTTAAAAAATTGTTTTTAATTGACTTAGCGTTAACGGCGGGGTAAAGGATGTTCAAAATAACATACTTTGTCTTCGTTTTCCTGTCAATAAACAGTGTTTGGAACTGTAAGATAAAATACAAAAACGTTATACGAGAATGAGAGAACGCATCTTACCCATAGTTGAACGACCCAAACTTGTATTTCCAGGATCTTTAGATAGTTTTACACCATTCAATGTAAAAATTGATTGATCTAGTGAAGAAATCAGAATAGAAATACACTGAGAATTGTCTCGTTAGTAAATTCATGAAGTCACTATGTAAGATTAACGTCTGACAATAATTAAATACAACGTATTAACACACGATTTGACTTCACAAATTCAAAGTTACACAACGTATTAACATATGATTAAACTTCACAAATTCAAAGTTACACAACGTATTAACACAGATCAAAGTTCACACCTTCAAAGTTACACAACGTATTAACACAGATCAAACTTCACACCTTCAAAGTTACACAACGTATTAACACAGATCAAACTTCACACCTTCAAAGTTACACAACGTATTAACACAGGATCAAACGTCTCATCTTGAACATTACACAATGTATGTTTGAGTAACAGAAGCTATAATTAACACAGCAATTATAAACACCCTATGACTTACCATCTTTCAAAGTTTCAGCTCCCTTTCCCAGCGGTTTAAAATAAGAATGTTTCATGGCTTTTTCTGCAGAACTTCTATTGATTGCAACATACTATGAAAAAAAAGAAAAAAGGATAGTTATTTCACAACAAAGAAGAATTTTCTAGTTTATAAATGATCACAGCTACCTCTAAAAATCCTGAAAGTAAATTTAATCCATCTCCATCGAGCCTGTATGATGTATAAATTATGTTATTTAAGAAATAAATGATGTTTACTGTGTTAGTGCACAGGCTTATGTTAGAAAGAACTGCAGAGAACATAAGTGCACATGTTCGAAAGTTCTCACAAACGTCTCCGAGGTTTGCATAAGCCAGTGTGAACACAATAAAGTAAAAACAATTAAAACATCTAATGCAAAATTTAAAACAAATCTTTTGATTTTTCCTATGTATAAAATTTATTGATGATTGAAGTTCAACATTTCTAAGAGGGATGTATAATTATTAAAAAATCTCTAGAAGTTTTAAGTTTCTCATTTGGTTGCAAGCAAAGATTATAACAATAACATTGATATAAAAGATTGAAAGTCAAAGATTGGCTAGTTAGGTTTTCCAGATACATAAAGGGATTTCAAGGGATCATTTCCGTTCATACCTTGGTGAATGATTAATCAATGGTTGAGGTGGAAAGTCAGGAAAATTTCCTAGAAAATAAAAAGATAGGACGGAGGGGTCAACTAATGGATTTTCACTGATTGCTTCAAGACATAAACATGATAAAATTTATACCTTTCTTAAAATTGATGTTATCTTGTATTCCAGGCCAAACATTTTCATTTGGACAACCAAGGAGCTGTGACATAAACATAGAAACCAAGAAATTTAATAAAAAATTCGACCTTCTAATCAAAACAATTTGACTTTCTAATCAAAACAATTTGCTCACCTTGAAAATAAGATTTAACTGTTCATCTGCTGTTCCACCAGGGAACATAGGCCTGCCAGTGGCCATCTCAAAAAATATACACCCCACACCCCTGCAACAAAAATATCATTATATTTGTACAGGGGGGTATACATGTAATAGAGAAGATAAAACTTACCACATATCAATAGACATATTGTATTCAGTAGATCCTAATAACACATCTGGAGGTCGATACCTAATCAAAATAAATAAATTATGATATACAGTGACGATGACATGACCAGTGTATGATAATGATAAAACATACAATATGCGAACCCAGTAAACATACCATAAAGTCACGACCTCATTGGAATACGTTTTAGTGGGAACTGACTTTGCTCTTGCTAAACCTAAACAAACAAAAACAATGAGAAACATATTCTTCAAAAGTTTATGAATTGCAAAACAGATTTAACAATTTGACTTAAAAAATTATATCTTTCAAGCCTGGATGGTTCCTAGCAAATTGCACGTCCAAACTTTGTGAATAAACAAAAATATTCAACAAATTGTGAATATTTATTTTCCTTATAATCTTGCTAAGCAAGATGGAGAAAACAGTTTTCCAACCCACCAAAATCTGCCAACTTGAGTTCTCCCTTATCATTAATTAATAAATTCTGAGGTTTCAAATCCCTAAAAATTATGTCAATGAAAACAATAAATACACATAGATTTATGTCTAGTATTGAGAAGACTTGTTGAGTTTTATTTCAAAGTAAACACCAACCTATGAAGGACTTTCCTGCTGTGACAATAATGTAGACCTCGTAGCAGTTGAAATAAAAATAACTAAAAAATAAAATAATATAAAAAATAAATTATGCTGAAATTTCATAACAGGATTCCCAAAGGATTTGATGATTTCCTCAAGAGATTGCATTTCTTGTTCATCTCTAGACTTCCCAATAAAGATTAGAGGATTCCCATTAAAGATTACAGGATTCCTGTATTAAGATTAAAGGGTTAGTGTTAAAGATTAGAGGGTTAGTGTTATAAATTAGAGGAATCCTGTTAAATATTAGAGGTTCCCAGATACAACTAGATTGGAGTTAAAGATTAGAGAGTTATAGTTAAAGATTAGTTGTGAAGAATTAGAGCATTCTTGCAGAACACTAAAATTAGTGCTAAATAAAAATATTAGATAGTATTAAAAACACAAAGATTGCTATTAAATATTAGTGTTAATGATTAAAGAATTACTCTTTAAGATTGAAGGATTGATGTTAAAGATTAGATGATTAATTCGAACAAGTAGAAGATTGATGTTAAAGATTAAAGGACACCTGTTAAAGATTAAATGACATGTGTTAAAGAATACAAGATACAAAAGATCAAATAGTTTAGAAACAGTCTCCCATACCCTAACATTATTCATGCTTAATATGCCACCACAGTCATCCATATAAGACTTTAAATCTTTCTCCTAAAAAAACCAATCAATGTTGAAAGGCAAGCTATAAATTGAATGTCTAAGTAGTTTTAAATTCCTTACCAAATATTCAAAAACAAGAGTGAGAGCATTAATTGTATGAACAGTATCATGAAGGGTAACAATGTTGGCATGTTTTAAGTCCTTTAACAGCGACACTATATCAATAATAAATGTGCATATATCATCACACAAGACAAATTAGCCAGATAATAAAGTATATCCTATTGAAATCAATGTTAGTTGTATTTCAACACACCTTCTCTTATTGCTGTGCATGGAGCACCCTCTTCGTGTTCAAGACGGATCTCTTTCAATGCAACAATAACATCAGAAAGCCTTTGTAATGACAAAAGAAACATTAACTAATGACAAAAGATTAAATTAAAACTTATGCATAATATAAAAAACCTGCTTTTTCCTTTAAAAACTGTAGCATATGTTCCCTGAAGACAAACAATAAAAAGGCTGTGCATGTTTGTTTTAATCATCATAATAAAAATAAGCACTTTATAACACTCACCTCTCCAAGTTTATCTAACTTCGTGTATGTCTCACTTTTACCAAAACCAATTTCTGACTAAAAAAATAAAGCTGAAGATTAACTGAAATTCTTCTTTTAAAATAAAATATAATTTTTCTTACCAAGGAAAGTCGTCTTTCAGTTCTTGACATTTTTTCATCAAGCGGAGGGCTAACAACTTTGTTTTTATGCTTTGATTTTGGAGAGACACCATTGATCATATTAAGAGCAGGAAGAGACAGCCGTTTTGTCAATTTTAGCTTGCCTTCCTAAAAAACAACATGAAAAAATGAAACAAAGTTTTGCCTGCTGAAAACATTTCAATGATTCTGTTCCTGACCGTTTTTGATCGTTGTCTTGGTAAGTTGTCTTTAAAGGTAGGAGATATTTGGTCTGATGTGTTGATATTGTCTTCTGACTTGCCATGCATATATGCAGTTTGGAAACCTAGATTGTTATTATATTAATAGAATAGAATATTATTTTATGATAAATTATGACACAACAATTCTATTCAAGTGTTCAAAAAACACAATAGACTAGGCAAACAAATTTCATAATAGTAAACATAAAATTATACATAACTAACTAATGTGAGAAATAATGAAAAAACATATGAGATTGTTGGATAAAAAATACTTTGCTCCTGTATTTAATATAAAGACAAATTTTTCAGGATTATATCTTCATACTACTGATTTAACCTTATACCTATTTTATCGCATGGAAACGCAGCATGAATGAATTAAACAGCCTACGTATGCATAAATGAAATGTGTGAATTCTAGATTATACGTAGAATAGCATCGTTCTTAAATTCCCGTTTGATGATATTCATAGTTAAGTGAGCGTCTGTTTACAAACTGTCTCGAATGAATGTCAAAACCCACGCGTTTTTGTCTGCATTAGAAGTCGCTGTCTGAATGCCTATCTATCTTAATCATACTATATTTAAAATGAACTTTTTCATTAACGACCAACTTAAATACCTTCACCTGCAGTAAAACAATCATCGAAGAGAAGTCAGATAAAGGCAAGGAAGACTTTAAATTTGATTGAATTTGTACATCAAAACACTTGAAATTTAATAACCAAAAAAAAAACTTGTCGATAAAACTGCAAATAAAGCAGGCTGTCATATATACGATGTTTGCCAAACAGAAAAAATACTAACCGCCGTTTTTATGACCATTTTCAGTTCCATCTTCTCTGCCAAAGGTTTCGGCATGTTCTTCGATGGTTTCTGTTATGTCGAATTGTCGAGAACGATTTGACTCAGAAAATGAAAAAGCTCGTTTAAATTTTCTCATGACCACGGAGTCGAGATATTTGAATTGCGTTCATCAGTTCAAGAGATTTCGAAACCTGACAAATACAAAAAGACATGTGAATGTTTACGATAGAAAAGCATCTATACAGTACCAACTATTTACTTTATTTCATAATCACGATAAACAACGAAAGGAAAAAGATTCAAAAGGCGATACGATGTTAGTTTGTGTATTATAGGAACCGGGGAAACGGTAATACAAACATTCCTAGTAAAAAATCTACCAAAGAGACAAATTTTGAGGCAACGACCAACCACAAAAATGCTATTCAAATTTCGGTATTGTTTCAAGAGTAAGCCACTGAAGTACTTGCTACGGGAATTTAGTATTTAGTATCAAAAAACGGCTATTTTTCGCCTGCTTATAGTCATTAATTGTTTATTTACAAAACCAATTTGATTTACAAGCAACATGTACAAGCGTAGCAGCGCACTAACCTTAGAAATTGTTTGAAAAATCCTACACTATTGTTTATTTTCATCGTTCTTTCTTCGCTTGCAGTTGAGACTGCAGCTATGTCACGTGACCATCTTTCTCCAAGGATGAAATTTTAGGAGAATAGCGGACATATTTCTTTCACATCGGCTTTTATTTCATGACCAAAATGAAATATTAATTCAGTGCAAAGCGAAAGCAAAACTCTGAAAAGTGCTTCGGACAAGTTGGAAAGCAGATAGTTCTGCTTTTTTTCAAACCATTTTAAAACACTTAAAGAATTTAAGCAATTTTTCCGTCTCGTCTATGCAATTTTAATTTTTCTCACACTAAAATGAGTTGCAAAATAACGTTCAATAGCTTTCGCTGCTACAACCATCATCTTCATCATCGAGCTCACCACCTAATAACGTCACGTGATGTTTAAGTAACAAGTGACAAAGTGGTTACAAGAGACAATGAAAATGTCTACCTTTATCTGCACTGACCAAACTTTCATTTTCATCGTTGCTCTAAAGAAATGAAATTATCTATGTTATTTGCAGTCAAGTTTGTTTGCTTTAACACAACTTGTAGTATACCAGGAAAATGAACAAAATCAACATGAAGAAGTTCTTGAATTATTTAATTTTATAAAATAAAATATTGTTCGTTACTTTTTCTTCTTCTATTCTGCTATCGTCACCACACTCGTCCCCACTCCCTTCAGATGACCCTTCTTCCCCTTTACTTTTCAATGATTGCTGGGACATGATTTCGTGTCCCTGAAGATCACGGTTCTTAAGATTTCCTATCCAGAATGCCTCGGGGCATTGGTTAACCGCTAACATCGCCTGAAATTTAAATATCCGTAAGTGAAATATTCTAAAACCGAAGTTATGTTACACAAGAAGTTTAGACAGTAGCTTTTTGCTAAAGATAGAGCGAAGTCTTCCAAAATTTCATATTGTTACAAAACTCGTCTTAAAAAATGAAATGAAACCATTGATTTCCTTTACCTTGACACGAAATACGAATGTTTCCAAAGATTTCTTCAGAGCTGGAACATGATTCGTCAAGGAAACATCTTTTGAAACCTAAAAAAAGATAAAAACATTAATTCATCATAAAATGCATTTTTTAAGCAATAAATTAATATCCTTAGGTATCCTTATTTACCTTCGAATGTCCACAAATATGCTGGAGGCATCTTGTACTTTGTTGAAATAGTTTCAACAATCCATTAATGTCATCCTAAACAAAGATAGAAATTCCTTTCAAAGTAATATAAAATTATTACGAGTTACTGAATACAGTTTGCCAACCTTGCAGATACGTAAAAGTACATCTAGCGCAGGCATTCCTTGGCTTACAAACGTTTCCACAAAGAAACGACCAAACTATAACGAGAAAGTGAAAACAAACAAGATTTCACAGTTATAAAAATACAGCAAAATAAAGAGGCCATCCTTAGTTAACGTTACCTTAAGTACGGTGGCCAACACTGTTCTATGTTCAAATGCCTTAAGAATAAACGGCAAGAGGTAATTCAGATATCACAAATGAAACTAATTTTATGAAAAAATGGACAATAAAAATTCATGTTGTACCTTGACAAGATTAACTAAGATATGAAACAAACGAACAGCAACATTTATAACGACAAGTCTTTCTTTCTTCACCTGAATAAAAAAATATACAACCAAACAGTTAACCGCATCTGACTTTATTATCCACGAAATAAACGAAATTCAAAAACCTCTAGCGAATCAGTTCCTTTGATTGGTTCAGACTGAGATTGTTTAAAATATGTCACCAAACACTCAAGCATCGATTTATAATAAGTGGGAAAAGATGACCTAAACACACGACATGGTGTTTATAAACAAAAGATAAATATTTTTATGTTTTTATGTTGACTTACGTACCTTGTCAACGTTGGTAATGTTTTTGAAGAAGTCCTCACTAATTCATCATCTAAGAGCTCAGGTATTGCTTTCGTCGTTATTTCTTCAATGATGGAAGATGGATCTTTTGCACCAAGAATGTAATGTCTATATCAACGAAATTTTTAATCTCTTAGAACTGTAGAGCAATGTTCAATCACCGTGCATTCAATAGTCGAGATCGTACTTAAGTAAAAAGTGAAGACTTTCGTTGTACTTAGCGCCTTGTTCCCGTTCACCGCTAAATTGAAGCCACTCTTGTTTTAAAAACTGTCCACATACAGGTGCTACAACATAAGCATATTTTAGAATAAGGGACGGATTAAATAAGTAAGATATCAAATTGAGAAAGGAAAATAAAAATGGTAAACATTAAAAGATTAAACTGTTATACTGACTCACACACGGATAAATTGTCTTCTTTTGATTTGTCTTTTATTGCTCCGAGAAGTTTAACCAACGTTACAGCGGTATCGATGGACGGTAATGTCGTTGAGAACTGTTCGACATAATGAAAGGCTTGGCTACATCAAAGATCATTAAAAGTCATGCTTTATAAAATACAAAGTTAAAATTCTGCAAATAAGATATCAACGCGACAATAAACTTTCAATGATTCCTTACCGCACAAGTTCATCGTAGTTTAACTGTGTCCTTCTAGAAATCTTCGTCCTTGAATTCAAAACTTCAAACGCAGATTTGAGATGTTGAATGTTGTTTGAATTGAAACCAGACCTAAATATTTTAGTGATGAAATTTAAACAACAGTATTCAAAAGAAACTGAAGGAGAAACCTAAATTTATTTTCCTTTCAAGAATGACAAACAAACTACATTACCAAGAAAAAAACTGAGTCATGGATGAAAAAACTCGTTGAAAACACAACGACATCAATTTCATTTCATCTGTATCACAACCAGGTCCATCAATGACACCATCATTTCTTTCATTTAAGTCTTGAAAGAAAGCACTAGTGGTCTCAAGATGTCGACAGAGGTCTGGGAACAAGTTGAGGACACACAAAATGATTTCATCCGATGTCTTTTGTGAGATATGAGAATATCCAATTTTGTTATGTTGATGAAACTATGAAAAGAGAAAAAACATAAACTTTAGACAATGGTATCCTGCATGCTTGATAACAATTTCTTTATGATGATAAGAGATAGATAACTTACTAGTATGGGATACACCTAAGCAACATTGGATACACCTAAGCAATAAGGGATGTACCTAAGTAATATGGGATGTACCTAAGCAACCTTAGATACACCTAAGCAATATGGGTTGTACCTAAGTAATATGGGATATATCTAAGCAACATTAGATACACCTAAGGAATATGGGATATACCTAAGTAATATGGGATATACCAGAGCAACATTGGATGCACCTAAGTAATACGGGATAAAACTCAGCATTAAGGGATGTACCTGAGTAATATGGGATATACCTTAGTAATATGAGATACACCAAAGTCATATGGGATATATCTAAGTAATATGGGAAATACCTTGGTAACGTGAGATATACCTTGGTAATGTGGGATATACCTTGGTAATGTGGGATATACCTTGGTAATGTGGGCTTTCGTTGATAAAGAATATTCTAGTTTGTCGGCAAGATCATCGAGAAGAAAATATAAGTGCGAAGCTTGTAGTTGTAAACTTTCAATTTTCTACAAAGTTATAAAGTAGAAAGGAAAGTTTTAAAACGTGAAAAATAATTAAATTATTGAATATATATACTTCGGTGTTACTATTTTCATGAAGAACAGCTTTCGATACGAAGCCACACTTTAGCATTTCAAATACGCTCAAATCCAGTTCCCTAAACATATAAATCATACATACAAGATACAGCGCATGCCTGTTATAATGACAATAAATGTAGCTGACACTACCTAAAACTAATAAATACCTAAAAAAAGCGCGGTATTTTGACGACGTATAAACATTTGATTGGGTTGAGTTTTTCTTTTCCGACTTGTTTTCAACGACTGTTGTATCTTCATTGTCTAGCGTCTCTTTCTCCATCGGCTCCTGTACACATGAAATAAGGAACATAAGAGAACACATTTCGGCCAAAATCATTTTTAAACAAGAATAGGATAGAAAACCTCTTCTATTGATGTTTTATCATTGCTGTTATCGCTGCTTTTATTTCTATTGAAGACAATTTTCAAACACAATTTGATATACAATTCTAGACAGTTGATGTCGTTGTTTCAAAATCAACAGAAAACAAACTCTCGTACTTAGGCTTCCCAGTGCGATTTCGTTTACTGCTAGTTTTGGAGTCAGTCTTTAAATATGTTTCATCCATGTCAAAATGGACAACAGGTGGTTGAAATGCGGGAGTATCTAAAAATAAAACTAAACCTTAAACATATCTCTGTTTTAAATGTTCAACACGTTATTCAATTTCTTTAAAAGTAACTTCCATTTGTCGTATTTAATACATTACTAACTACCTTTGAGACAGCTTTCCAACATCTTTTGTAAGTTAGTAATTATGTCTAAACGTTTTATTGTTTTTTCCTTCATGTCCAACTCGGTCTCCGTCGAGAACGCGTTGATCAACTAAAATATTTCCAATTCTTCTGATTTTTCATCCAATTAAGTCGTAAGTGAAAGTTTTCTAAGAAAAGCAACTTGCCTCTCTGAACCAGTTTATACAAAAGAATAAAGAGCTACAGATCAACTCACGATCTGATAACGAAAGTTTTGTGAATCTACACATTATTTCCTTCATGTTGAACATCACAACAGGACAGCCTAAAATATTCAAAACATCTCTATAGACAACATCTCTATAGACAACATCTCTATAGAAAACATCTCTATAGACAACATCTCTATAGAAAACATCTCTATAGACAACATCTCTATAGACAACATCTCTATAGACAACATCTCTATAGACAACATCTCTATAGACAACATCTCTATAGACAACATCTCCATAGACAACATCTCTATAGACAACATCTCTATAGACAACATCTCTATAGACAACATCTCTATAGAAAACATCTCCATAGACAACATCTCTATAGACAACATCTCATAGAAACATTCTAGACAACATCTCCATAGACAACATCTCTATGACAACATCTCTATAGACACATCTCTATAGACAACATCTCTATAGACAACATCTCTATAGACAACATCTCTATAGACAACATCTCTATAGAAAACATCTCCATAGACAACATCTCTATAGACAACATCTCTATAGACAACATCTCTATAGACAACATCTCTATAGACAACATCTCTATAGACAACATCTCTATAGACAACATCTCTAGACAACATCTCTATAGAAACATCTCCATAGACAACATCTCTATAGACAACATCTCTATAGAAAACATCTCCATAGACAACATCTCTATAGACAACATCTCTATAGACAACATCTCTATAGAAAACATCTCTATAGACAACATCTCCATAGACAACATCTCTAGACAACATCTCTATAGACAACATCTCTATAGACAACATCTCTATAGACAACATCTATAGACAACATCTCTATAGACAACATCTCCATAGACAACATCTCTATAGACAACATCTCTATAGACAACATCTCTATGACAACATCTCTATAGACACATCTCTATAGACAACATCTCTATAGACAACATCTCTATAGAAAACATCTCCATAGACAACATCTCTATAGACAACATCTCTATAGACAACATCTCTATAGACAACATCTCTATAGACAACATCTCTATAGACAACATCTCTATAGACAACATCTCTATAGACAACATCTCTATAGAAACATCTCCATAGACAACATCTCTATAGACAACATCTCTATAGAAACATCTCCATAGACAACATCTCTATAGACAACATCTCTATAGACAACATCTCTATAGACAACATCTATAGACAACATCTCCATAGACAACATCTCTAGACAAGACAACATCTCTATAGACAACATCTCTATAGACAACATCTCTATAGACAACATCTCTATAGACAACATCTCCATAGACAACATCTCTATAGACAACATCTCTATAGACAACATCTCTATAGACAACATCTCTATAGACAACATCTCTATAGACAACATCTCTATAGACAACATCTCTATAGACAACATCTCTATAGAAAACATCTCCATAGACAACATCTCTATAGACAACATCTCTATAGAAAACATCTCCATAGACAACATCTCTATAGACAACATCTCTATAGACAACATCTCTATAGAAAACATTTCTATAGACAACATCTCCATAGACAACATCTCTATAGACAACATCTCTATAGACAACATCTCTATAGACAACATCTCTATAGACAACATCTCTATAGACAACATCTCTATAGACAACATCTCTATAGACAACATCTCTATAGACAACATCTATAGAAAACATTTCTAAGACAACATCTCCATAGACAACATCTCTATAGACAACATCTCTATAGACAACATCTCTATAGAAAACATTTCTATAGACAACATCTCCATAGACAACATCTCTATAGACAACATCCCTATAGACAACATCTCCATAGACAACATCTCTATAGACAACATCTCTATAGAAAACATTTCTATAGACAACATCTCCATAGACAACATTTCTATAGAAAACATCTCTATAGACAACATCTCTATAGACAACATCTCTATAGACGACATCTCTATAGACGACATCTCTATAAACAACATCTCCATAGACAATATTTTCATTAACAAAATCTCCACTCAAGAGACACACATTACCAGATACTTACCCAGTAAAGCATCAATTCCCTCGAGTCCTTTGTTACGAGTTTGCTCGCAAATTCTCAGCAGCCGGAAGAGAGGGGCAGAGCAAATTGGTGAAACAGTCTGGGAACTACAGAAGTGATACAAACAATTAGATAATATGTAGGTCATGATAAACACTACACGTTTCTTAACCTTGATTTTTTATCATGGATAAAATGAAGTTGTAAACCAACGAGATTGAAGATAATCCCACCCTCGTCAGGAGGGTCAAGACCGGCAAAAATCGCAACGGGAAGATTGCATCTACATCAGAGAGATTTACAACGTTAAGTACGTAGAGTAAAGATAACGGTTGCCATGTTTGTGACAGAGCAGTGACGACATAGTTTAATGAAACAGTTACTTTGGAGGCTCTGTGTCTGTATCAATCAAATGATTTTGTTGAAAATCGGAAACAACAGTCTCACTGATCCATGCCTGAAGAAGAAAGATTACATATAGAGAGGAAAAATTACAAGATCGTGAAGAAAACACAAAAGTAGAACCTCAGTCTTTGCATCCAGTTCTCCCTTCTCTATAACATTTGCAAGTTCATCGTAAAACAACGCCGCAGCTTCGGGAGCACGATCAACAGATGTGCGTACTAAATCCAGTAAACTAACGACCTAAAGTGTTACAATGTACATGTTTGAAGATGGAAAGGAAATAAAATAGGATAATGATTAAAATCTTAGAGCATATGCATTCATAGAAAACATGAACTTTCAGATACGTATAGCTATGGAAAATGTCAGACACCCGACCAAAAAAAAGTTTTTGTTATCTGACGTTTATTCTTCTCAAAATAATCGCTCTAGAAATAGCTAACAAAGTTGCCAGTCAACTATGCACTAAAAATTACTTTTCCAATTCAAATGTTATCTTGTCAGCTTTGAGGACATAAAGTAGACATTGAGAAGTATTCATACAACCTGTCTCTGTTGTTCATTCATTGTGAGATTTGGCTGTGAGCTCGTTGATTCGCTTTTTTCATTGTCGTCACAAGAGCTAGCGTGAAAAAACAAAAATAAATGTAAGACGAAATTGTTGTAAAGGAAATTCCATTACAAAAGTTACTGACTTGGTTTTAGTCATACTGCGAACTATCATAACGCTACCAATGATACCAACACGTTTGTATCTTTAGAAAGAAGAAAGTTGAATTTTGACGTATTAAGACAGCAAAAAAGTTTACTGTAAAAGTCATAATGTTATTTAAATGGTGAAGATGATCACCTATACTGGTATGGCTGAGGATAAAAGATGAACATCAACTTACGTAAGTACAGCCAATACAATTCTTAACATTAATAACATATAAACATAAGGTATATATTTCATACTTTAATGAATTACTCGAGAGCTGTTTTCTTACAACCATATGAATATCGTCCTGATAAAAAATATATATAAATCACATCTTAATGGCAATATACACGGCAATGTACACAGGCAATGCATTAAAATCATTAATTTGTTACCTGAATCATAATACCGTCAGCGCTATTAAATGCTAAAGTACTCAACATCCCAAAAACTTTTCGCATTTGACTTATACTGAGATTATCCAGGTAATCCAAAATGCCCTAAAGAACAATTTGTTTTAAGGCAAGTAAAGGATTGAAACGGTTGCATTTCAGATAAGATGATTTCACCTTTAGAAAAAGAGCAAATGAAGACATGTCTGATGGGTGATCTTCAACAAGATCCGATAAAATATCCAGTGAGATGTCGGCTTCGTTTGAAAAGCCACTACCAACATGCGAAACCAAGGCGCCAACTACTTCCTGGTTCAAAAATATCGCGATGATTAGAGGAACAAGAAATGGGGAAAATGTTTTCCCACGCACTCCTGGGAGCACGATTGTGAATCGGTGTAGCGGGTGTATGTAGGTTATATTAAGCACATTTCGTTGCTGCACCTGCACAGCTTGACAAGAATCGAATTCGCTCACCAGGATGAAGTGGTATAGACATATGTAAGTTGGTATTCAAGAGAATTTACGTAGTCGTTTAGGTGTGTAATAAACGCCGAGTTGGCAGCAGATTGGCCGGCAGTAACTCTAATTTGTGTGTGAGAAAAATAAAAATTTCAACTTGCCTGTTTACAATAAAGGTCAAACGTTAGAAATGATTTCGTGTACATAATTCTGGCGTAGGAAGAGATAGTCGAGTCTGGAGAACGGAGTAAGATTTCAGAAATTACCAGAATATTGTCAAAATATTCTCGTAAAACCTGCAAGAAAGTTGAGAAAGTATTTTTGGTTTTGCTAAAACAATGTCATTGGGATACCATTTTCACAAGTACTTTGATGAAAAGATGTATAGCTCTAGGTAACACACCTGTCCATAAAATTGAAATGCATCCTGAAGAACAGCAACGGTGAAATATCCATGACGGATTTTGTTTCTTAGCAAAGTTTCGATAGATTTTCTTCTATTTGTGACAGCGTAAAGTATTACTACGACAAACACATCGATGACTAAATGATCCGAAGAATTTTTCACATCATCTAAGACCTGAAATAGAAAATATATCATCGTTCCTGATAGTAAAAAACAAAGATAATAAAAACGATGGAATTCTATTCCTAAGGAAATTAGAGAGAGCGAATGCTTTTCATCGTTTCAAAACAAAATCGCTACACACAAGGGCCACAGTCAAAGTTTAAGAACAATTCGCGACGTTTAAGTTACGTCTGAGGTCAGTTTAAAATATTCGCGAGTGATATTTACGGTGCAGTTGTTATGTTTAGAAAATCTTGTCATTTCTTCTTCTGTTAGGATTGTTTTTTTTTATAAACTTTACTACGTAGTCATACGTACGAGTCACATAGAAAAGTTTTGCTTATTTAGCAACAAAACCATGTATTTTCATCGTTTATGTCTGGACAGCATTTACTAGCCTTTCTTGGATTTAAAATTTTTAAGGACTTTTCAAGTACCCTTAAAATCGATTTTTTCAATTTAAGGACTTTTCAAGAGGTTTAAGTACCTACATGCTTCATTAAACAGTACACTTGGGGTTAAGTACGTGTACGATGCCTAACATGACAGTTTAAGTACCTACATGCTTCATTAAACAGTACACTTGGGGTTAAGTACGTGTACGATGCCTAACATGACAGTTTAAGTACCTACATGCTTCATTAAACAGTACACTTGGGGTTAAGTACGTGTACGATGCCTAACATGACAGTTTAAGTACCCACATGCTTCATTAAACAGTACACTTGGGGTTAAGTACGTGTACGATGCCTAACATGACAGTTTAAGTACCCACATGCTTCATTAAACAGTACACTTGGGGTTAAGTACGTATACGATGCCTAACATGACAGTTTAAGTACCCACGCGTTGCGTTAAACTTTAGACATAACAAGTACCCACCTTAAGCCAACCATCTGATATCGTTTTTCTAAACCTTACACTAGTTTTTATAGCTTCCATAATAAGAATGATTGAGTTCTTAAAGTGATCAGTGGACGTAGAGCTGAAAAAATAAGATGAACTTCCAAAATAAAAAAGTAAATCATCTGTACTCAACTGTGTACTGTCACTCAAGAAAAAAATGACGTTTTTTTATACGCACTTTCTCACGCTGTGTATTATACCTACTCACGCTATCTTATACCTACTCACGCTATCTTATACCTACTCACGCTATGTTTTATACCTACTCACGCTTTTTTATACCTACTCACGCAATATTTTATACCTACTCACGCTTTGTTTTATACCTACTCACGCAATATTTTATACCTACTCACGCTATATTTTATATCTACTCACGCTATATTTTATACCTACCCACGCAATATTTTATACCTACCACGCTATATTTTATACCTACTCACGCAATATTTTATACCTACTCACGCTATATTTTATATCTACTCACGCTATATTTTATACCTACCACGCAATATTTTATACCTACTCACGCTTTGTTTTATACCTACTCACGCTATATTTTATACCTACTCACGCTATATTTTATATCTACTCACGCTATATTTTATACCTACTCACGCAATATTTTATACCTACTCACGGTATGTTTTATACCTACTCACGCTTTGTTTTATACCTACTCACGCTATATTTTATACCTACTCACGTTATATTTTATATCTACTCACGCAATATTTTATACCTACTCACGGTATGTTTTATACCTACCCACGCTTTTTTATACCTACTCACGCTTTTTTATAGCTACTCACGTCAATCGTTCAAAGAGATTTCACAAATTACCACACACCAATCATAGTTTCCTCAACATTATGTCACAAGTACAAGTTAACGAGAAGAATTCTAAGATATTTTCACCTCGATCGAGTCATGATAATAATACCTTAAATTTCTTCCATTACAAGGAGTTGATGTGGCCGAGGGATCTAAACCATTCAACGTACATGATAGATCCAGGTTCTTACGAAGATCAGTGATAATCTACAAAAAGACATCCTTCTAACAAATGATGTAGAGTTGTTTAAAAGACTAAATTTACAGTGTCAACAGACAAACCACTTTCTCCAAGACAACATAAGATAAACATAAGTGTAAATTTCCATGCCTGTATAACGCTATCATCAGCAACTGACTGAAGAAGAAACTTCACCATAACAGGCAATTCTTCCATGTCTGTTGAAGATAACATGTCAACAACTGATTGTTGTACCTAAAGGACAAGAAAAATTCTACAACAGCAAGCGCTATAGTGGTCAAGAAAGGATTAACGTTAAAAAATAAACGTGTAATGACTTAAAGACTCTGCACATGAATCAAACTCGTATCTTAATTATCGTCAGACGAGTTGTTATCACAATACCTACCTCAGAGAGAATTTCAGACTTTAAATTCAGATTTGTAAGAGTATCCAGAATTGCGATGGTTAACTGTGAATTCTCTTGCATGAAATTTCTAAAAAGAAAAGACATCTTATGTGATAAAATTGAAAACTCTCACTGAGATATCAAAAAACATGAAACACACATTAGTTCTTTTGCAATCCCGGAATGTTCATTGTCATCTAAGATCTCTGGAATGGCAGTGATGATCTCTCGTTGAACTGCAATGTCTGATACACTGATTATTTCCAGAAATTTATCGCTTAAATCCTGAAAAGATTGTCACATTAAATGTATTCTCTCACTATTGTATCCATTATCATATTATTACCTTCGGTTGAAGGATTTTGTCAAGCCATTTGAACTGATTGACAACAAGTCTTGGAAGATCATATTCAAATATCCTAGTAAAAAATGACATGGAAGTTGTCACAAGGAGTTTGAAACAAAGATTAATACAACACAATGAAAACTTACATAAACATTAAACATTATCTACATGGTCATGGTCTATACCTATTACTGTTGTCTGAAAACTCGGGAATCTTTTCAAGAAGAGCATTTGCTATTGAAGGCTAGAGAATTAGACGGATAACTTCAAATATTTCAATATAAGTTTTATAACATTTTATCAAATAACATCAATGAGTTTGTATTAGCTTATATAAATCAATTAAGAGAACTCCTAAATCAATTGAGAATACAAGCTAGAGAAAAATTAAAACATTTGTTTTAAATTCATCTGTTTCATATTATTGTTGTATTATAAAAGAAATAAAAGATGTTTGCTGTGTTTGTACTGGCTTATGCAAACCTTTGAGACATTTTTAAAACTCTTGAGCAGTTGTAAACCTGAGACAAAATGTTGAGTCCTTGAGTTTTCCTAAATGTCTCCACAGTTTGCATAAACCTGTGCAAACACAATAAGTATCTTTTACTTCATAAATCATAATTATCCTTCTGTGATACTTACAGTTAATTTTACATTTTTAACAACTCAAAATTAGAACATAAACAACCATCAAACATGGTTATAGCATTCGCAAAGGCGTGAATCACAGTTAAGGATATGATTTTGGGTTGGATAACAACAATTTGAGGCATTACTGTAAAATGTAAGCCTTAGTCTACCTGAAGGGAGTCAACACCAAGCAATAGTCTCATTAAACTATCTTGAGATGCACCACGAAAGCTAAAAATTACAAAAAACTAACAGTGTGATAATAAAACACTTGACTAGGATAATGAAAGAAAACTACCTTTGTTCCGATTCTGTAGTTGTCGACATTTGCAACAAAGATTGACAAAATCTTCAAAAAAAGGTAACATTAAAAATTATCAATTATCTACCTACTGATCAATTTAAACATTAAGGTATAACAAAGATACATGTTTAAAGAGGTAATGCCGAATAAAACTAACCTATTTATGATGAACTGAATAACAAATAAATTACTTTTACCTTTGAGGATCTTCAATATAACTGACAAAACCTTCAATAAAATCATTTATGACCTGCACATAAATAAAATTAATGAAATTACATTTAACAAATGGTTGGCAAGGTTGATAAATGTTCATGAGAACCTGAGGATATTTATGATGTCTTTTTATGGCTTTTGACAAGTTTCTTTGACACAATGCTTGTTCCACATCTATAAAAATATACAAAATACATCAACACATTTGAATTAGATGTTTAGTAAAAAATGGATAAAAATTTTTACCAAGAACAAATAATATTTCATTTACTTAGTTTATTAGGTTCATCATCATAAGTAAGCTCTACTCCACTTCTTGTGACCATTTTCTCAAAAATAGATTGCATATCTCTTTCATAAAGATTTCCATTTTCTTCACCTTTCTTTTGCTTCTTGTTGTTGGACACTAGGAAAATTTGATAAGTTAATTGGAAAATGCAGATTATCTTGCATTTGAATGAGTGGAAAGTGCATTCATAATTATTGAGGGTTTTCTTCTTCACCAAACTCATTGCTGAGTGTGGTAGACTCCTAACAAAACAATGATATGACTGACATTACACCCACGTAAGTAGAGCTGGTTGATGTCTTTTGCAAGTTGATCCATGCATGAAAACTAAAAACAGTTCTAAAAAGGTTTTTTTTCATTTAGCAGTAAAGATAGTTATTATGAATCACCACTAAACCTTACGGAGACTACAGTTTTGGAGAAGTTTGTATTGAATTTTTCTGTTTAGTCTAACCATTTAACAACTTACCATACGAGGACTCTAAAACATTCGAATCGGGATTTCTTTTTCGTGATTTAAGCATCGTCGTTTGGATTTCATAAAATGTTTTATCGTTAGTACAAAGGTGAAAAAAACAAAACTAATTTTTTCAAATCAGACGACCAACGTGCCGCCATATTTGTTCGAGCTTCCCGCGCTGAAGGCACTCTGAACGATGAAATATAGCATTACAATTAGCTCATCAAACCGACAACCACCCAGTTGCATTGATGGTATATTGTATATATCACCAACACAAAGGACAAAGCTGTTCACTGGATTACATTTTTAGGGGGTAACTTACAAGTACGCTTTAAGCAGCTACTATCAAACAATCATCACTCTTGAAGTTCGTGCAGTTAAACCTGTAGAATGTTGACTACCCATACATGGAGAAAATTCTCTTCCTAACAAATAATTAAACAATACCAAGAATTAATTCTATTAACTGTATTGATTATCAATATCATTTCTATTCGGCTTCAGCCTTCACAAAAGTCAATTTTCAACGGTTTGCCTACATGAATTTCTTTACAAGGACATCGAGTTTTAAAGATTTGCTTTTCACATTTTCGTTGTTGTCGTTTCTCAAAATTGCAAGAACACGATACAGTTCGCGAACTTTTTCTTTGTGTTTACTGTCAAGTACGAAACTAGTTCTCTCGACCAACAGCAACAAGTCGTGAGCCAAATCCAAACTTTTCAGACGGATTGCAGCGTATTTAAGATTTTCAAGGCAAGGGTACAGCTCAGAAAAAGAAATCAAAAAAATCTCACCAAGGAATTATACATCCTCGTCATCTGATACTTTATTAACATAGCCAATAAGAGCTGTAAATATGGACAATTGGACTTTCCAAGGATGATTTTTGAGAGAGGACGCAAGTAGGTGCAGGAATTCATGTCTCTGCAATTTGATGAGATTTATCAACTGGCCAGGCAAACCCAAGACATTCAAAGAATTGATAAGAAGTTTTACATCTGTGATTTCTACCCAGAAATGTACCCAGAAATGATCGCAGTAACTATATTGTCCCGGATTGAACAACGTCTGTCCATGTTTAGAGTCCGCACGAGGAAACGTCATGAAACCTTTCTAACAAGAAAACCAACACAAAATGATGTTAAAATCCAATGTTTGATAATACAGCTACATGCATCAATTCAATTTATACAAACCATAACAGTACTGGGTCTTTTGTTGAAGCTAGGCTTCTATATAAAATTGACGAATTGATAGTTGTGACTTTTCATAATGTTTACGCTTTCTTGGCTAACATTCCTAAGTAAGATCTTACTAAAATCCTGCGAAGATCCTCAAGGATCTTGAATAAGTTAATTTTTAAGATTTTGCCGGATCCTCTACATATAGGATCATTTAAGGAATGTGAGCTGGATCATTTTTAGGGTTAGATCATTTTGACAAAGCGCAGCCATACTTTTCTAGAATTCATTATTCAAAATATCACCTTCTTTAAACTACGTTTTTCATTTCGTTCCGGAGCTTTTGACTTGTTAGCATGTGCTAGAAATATGGCCATTTTTTGAACTGTGAGGAAAATTACTAATGATTACATTATTCAACAACACAACTTACTGAAATTCTACCTGTCTCAGTAGTCTTAACATTATTGTTTGAAGTTGGTAAGTAACCATGTTCTTTCTACAAATAGTGATATTTAAACTTATTAAAGTAAATGGTTTGAACTCTGAAGATGACTACCGCTAAGGTTGTCAAAAGTCAGTCAACAACAGCAAAACAGTCCTTCTCAGGCCTTTACCAACCTGGACAATCTACATTTACAAACATGTAATTTAAACTTATTATTGGTTATAAAAAGGACAAAGACAGGATGTTGCGATTACCTCAGATTTATGACACGGACCCATGATCCCAGATTCATGACTGGACCCATGACCCGGATTCATGACCCCAGACCCATGATCCCAGATTCATGACCCCGAACCCATGATCCTGATTCATGACATCGACCCATGATCCCGATTCATACCTGACCCATGATCCCGATTCATGACCCCAGATCCATGATCCCGATTCATTACCGAACCCATGATCCCGATTCATGACCCGGACCCATGATCCCGATTCATTACCCGACCCATGATCCCGATTCATTACTTCAACCCATGATCCCGATTCATGACACCAGACCCATGATCCTCCCGATTCATGACCCCGACCCATGATCCCGATTCATTACCCCGACCCATGATCCCGATTCATGATCTCGGACCCATGATCCCGGATTCATTACCCGAACTCCATGATCCCGATTCATTACCCCGACCCATGATCCCGATTCATTACCCGACCCATGATCCCGATTCATGACCTTGACCATGATCCGGATTCATTACCCCGGACCCATGATCCCGGATAAATTACCCCGGACCCATGATCCCGGACCAATGATCCCGGATTCATTACCCCGAACCCACGATCCCGGATTCATTACCCGGTTCACTTCGATCCCGGATAAATTACCCCGGACCCCATGATCCCGATTCATTACCCGAACCCATGATCCCGAATTCGCTGACCCCGGACCCATGATCCCGATTCATTACCCGAACCCATGATCCCGATTCATGACCCCGGACCCATGATCCCGATTC